ATCGCCGTGTTTGGTTAAAAATATAGGTTGAAAGTAACTTAGTTGTGGCAAAAGATAACAAAGTAACCGTCACGTCGTAGCATCACTATTATGGTGACTTTGCCAAATCAGTTTTAAAGACAAAAAATATTAAGATCACTGTGTTAAAAACGAAATATTACACTTCCTAGCCGTTAATGTTAACTTACCACAATGATATAGTAACCTACATTCAATATATCAAACAAAATCTAAAAAGTTTTTGAGTACTTAATAAAAAGATGACTTCGCGCTAAAATAAAATGCCAAAAATTTATTCTTATATTGATATATCGGAAACAATGCTTTAATATGTTATTAAATTTCCATCCAAAAATGATATATATCTCCAACCGTTACATTGTTCGTTATTTTGTACAATTGCATATCCCTGATGGCAAAGTAAGTAAGTAAGGCAAGTAAAGTTGCCATATTTGAATGCACTAATAATTTATATAACTTTGTTACTAATCCCACACATAATTTTTTTAAACAAAGTTGTTATCGAACGAGTTTATTTAAAAAAATATACCATTAGAAGCGTTTATAATTTATTTATTTATTTATTTATTACAAAAACAGTAACAACATCATAACAGTACAAAACCAAGACGATGCTGTACAAAAACCAAACAATAACTGATAAATATAACTACTGACATAAAATATATACTTATACAATTATAATTAAGAAACAAAAATATAAATTGAAAAAAAAAAGAAAGAAAAAAAATTTATAATAAAACCTCACAGACCCTGTGCGCCACTTCTGTGAACTTTGCCAGGCTGCAGTGGTAAATGTCCGTTTCTTCGGAAATAATATTCAATAACTTTAAAGCCCGCGACATAGGTGCAAACCTGAGCAGATTTGTCCTCGCGTGCGGCACCTTAAAGGTGGATGTGGGCGACGCCTAACCACCGCCTTATCAGGCACAAACAGCTGCAACACCTCCAGTACCTCAGGATGGTGTAGCTGGCCACGCAAGACTCGCCACACGTACTTGCAGAGTGCGACGTCCCACCTCACACCAAGCTGGCTGTACCCGACCATGCCGATCACGAACATGCTCGGGTACAGCAGCGGGTAGAAAGGATAAACGCCGTACTCCTTTAAATAAAGGAACCGCGTGAATTTATTTTGAATTTTTTCCACCATGTTGATATATTTATCTTCATGGGGATTTCCAAATAATTGCACTCGTTTCCAGCCGGCTGCCAACAAGTGCATTGTATAAAACTTTAATAATCGCCGTACTAAGAAAATCCCTGCAATTTCTTATGATAAAACCTAAGTTTCGAAATGCCTTACCGCAGATATCTTCAATGTGATTACGAAACGTTAACTCCGCCACCATCTGCACACCTAAGTCAAGTACGAAAGTAACGCGCGGCATTACCGTTCCGTCAACCTCGTACCGATATTGCAGCGGCGCCTGTCTGCGTCCGTAACTTATCACCTCACACTTCGTTGTGTTAAAATATAACTTATTAATAGCACTCCACTGTACGACCCTATCTATATCTCGCTGAAGCTGCTCACAATCCGAAACGTCTGCTACCGATAAAAACAGTTTTAAGTCGTCTGCAAATAGGAGACATTTCGAGACCTTAATGACCTCTGGGAGATCATTTATCAATAATATGAACTCCAAGGGGCCCAAATTACTCCCCTGGCTCACACCCGAAAACGTGAAGTAAGGTTCGGATTCACACCCCACGAACTCGACGTACTGCCGGCGTTCACCAAGGTAACTCGCAAAAAATTTTAAAAGATGCGGTGTGAAACCCACCGCCGCAAATTTTTCTAAAAGGATATCGTTATCAACGGCATCAAAAGCTTTCCGAAAGTCGAAGTAAGCGGCATCCACCTGCCCCCCAGCGTCGATAGCTGGCGTCAGGTATGTCATAAATGACAGCAAGTTACTCGCTGTACTTCGGCCCGGCCGAAACCCATGCTGAACATCAGTCAGCTGCGAACTGACCTGCGTATAAATACATTTTTGTAATGCGGATTCAAATACCTCGGCGAACGCAGACAGCACCGCCACAGGTCGATATCCGCTTACATCTGAAGTCGAACCTCCTTTAGACACCGGTATTACTCTTGTCAATTTCCATTCTTCGGGATAGTAGCCTTCTCGGAGACACAGGTTAAAAACGTGAAGCAGAGGCTTTTCAAAAACAGAGCGACAGTCTTTGACTATGTAAGGTGGTATACCGTCAGGGCCTACAGAGCGCTTAGGCTTGAGGTGTGCGAGAGCGGTGCGGATGTCGCGCACGCTCAGCTGGCCGACGTGCACACGAGCTGCGCCAGCACGCGCGCTCGCCGCACGCTCCGCCGCTTTCGGATCCAGCGTCGGCCGCGTCTCGCTATATACAGTTTGAAAATAAGACGCGAAACATTGCGCACTCGACTGATCACTTAACTCTAGACCATTTTTGTTACTCGAGTTTTGTTACGTCTAGACTGTTTACATCTTACGTAATTCCAAAAAGATTTCGGATCGTCCTTAAAATTCAGCTGTAATTTCTCCTGGTAGGCTTCATAATTGACTTTTAACTTATATTTTATCTGAGATCGATACCGAGCAAACGCTTCGTAATCACATTGCGCACTCGTCATTTTATACAGTTTATGATACCTCCACTTTCGCTTTATATCGCGTATTAAATCGGATGAGTACCATTCCGGGTAAACATACCTGGCATGATTCCTATTAAGTTTGGCCCTACGGGCTCTAGGAATACAACGGTCTACTACCTCATTTACAACCGTATATAGGTACGATATGGCTACCTCCGGGGTGTCAATTTGATACAAATTACCCCAATCAATTTGTTGAAAGCTATCGTACAATATATGAAAGTTGGCTTTATAGAAATTCCATCTCCGTTTAATACAAGATTTATCAATCTCATCACGAGAATAGAGGCGTTGCACCTGCTGCTCCCTGGCAGTGCCCATCGTCACGCTGACATACACCGGAGGATGTTGTACGTCAATATCTACTAACGGGTCATTACACAACTTTATCTCCACTTCACGTGCTAAAAACGTTGTAAATACTAAATCTAAAGTACGGTCGTTAATATTACGGACATTATTTACCTGGCGAAATCCACAGACGGCGTTAAAATATACCATATAACTGTGCATGCCCACAGCTGCTGAAGGCATATTAAAGTTACCAAGCACTATAACATTATTGTATTTAACACAAATATTTTCTAATATAAGAAATAATTGCATGTATTCTCTAGCTACACTATGCGGTGGGATGTAAACAACGCAACATAGAAACATAAACTTCTTATCACGGTGTACCGTCGCACACACAATTTCAAATAAGGCGGTGTCCACATTGCCGACAGGAACGCTTTTCAACTCCAGCGATGACGAAGAAGCTAGAAATACTCCTCCATGCTTGCGGCCATCAGCTCGATCACATCGCAGTATTTGGAAACCAGGTGGTATAAGTTCACCGTCATGTATGGATCTATGAAGACTTGACTCCGTAATTGCAAATAAGTCGTATGGTGACTCCAAAATATTCAAATAAAAAGTAGATAATTTTGTTCTAAGTCCTATAACATTCTGGTAGTAAACATTAATGCCCTTATAACAGGTTTTCATTACCTGTTTCTGGTTACGGGTGTTTCGAAACCACACCCATTCATTAAATCGGGTATGTATTGGCCAAATATCTCTGCAGTTCACTTTTTCAAACGTGGATTCTGGAACACCAATCCTGAATGACGAATAGCCTCTCTTGGTTTTTGGAACAATCTTTTCAATTTTGATATCCTCAGAACCACAAATTTTTTCACGTGTTCCCTTATCGCATCTTCCGAGGTTTCAAGATGGAGTGACTAAACTAAAAACTTCTTCTTCTGTATAGCCTGGAACGAACCGATTTGGGCGTTTCCTCCAGTTTGGATTGCCTTACCATCTTAAGCCTTCTTAGACTTTTTATGGCCACCTACTACTTTCCATTCTTCAGTCGCAGACGTTTCAATTATAGTTTAATCATCTTTTCCTGAATTGTTTACTTCCAGTGTGGAAACAGCCTTTTTTGCCCGCTGCATAGCTCGGCGCGCGCGCTGCGTTATTTTTTTCTCTCTTATAGCGACCGTGTCTGAGGATATCGGTGTCTCGCTTGCACTTGGGACTGTCAGTACCTTAGTCTGTACGTCGGTCTCGCTGGTCGACTGCCCAGCCCGCAATAGGTCGATTGTTCTAGTGGGCATTTCTTCGATTACCCTCTTCAGGTCACTTATCGTCGAAAACAATTTCTCAATCATGCGCTGCTGATTTTCTATCTTCTTATTCTGCGCTTCAATTAGGGTCACTTGCGTTGTGATTTTTGTTGTCAACGCTTCTACATTCTTTGACAAATTGACGAAAGCAGACTCCACTTTAAAACTTGTCATTTTTACCGAAATACGAAATAAAAACACGGCGACTAAAGTTCTCGTGTCAAGCTCACAAATAAACACTATTTGCTTTGTTTACTTTATGTCAATTATGAAATCGTAACTTATACGTGCCAAAACGCTGAGAAATAAATAGAAAGGAATTAAAGTCACATATCAATTTACATAAGCCACTGAATTAATTACATTTTGAATAGCTTGATATACCGTTATTTGTATTTGAACATAATTTCAAATAGATATTAATGTTAATGTATTATTACCAATTGGCTTAGAATGCCATGTTAAATTTTGTGTATATATTGTTACGAGCTGGGGTTTTGTGACAATTAAAAACTGCCGATTTAAATACCAAAATTAACACTTTAAACACCAATTACAACTTAAAATACACAAATAATAATATAAAATTAGAAGTTATATCTTGTATCGCGAATAATTTCAAGCGATATAATATTGTAATCCCCGGGCGGAAGACCCAAAAATTTAGAGTAAGTACATAGAATGTCAGAAGTTTATTATAAAGAGAAAAGATCTTAAATATAGCTATGGAGATGGATCATTTAGGAGTTCATGTTATGGGACTGAGTGAAACTAGATGGTGTGGGAACCGTAAAGAAGAAATTGAGAGAGATAAAATAATTTACTACTCTGGAAAGGACACTACATCTGACTATTACGGAGTTGCTATTATAGTTAACAAACATTTAGAAAATGCCATTAGTACCTTTATCCCACTCTCGAATCGAGCTATGATGATTCAATTAGACACCAAGCCTAAAAGATTGAATATTATTCAAACTTATGCACCAACTGCTGATAAGAGCCAAGAAGATATAGAAAACTTATATAAAGAACTTGAAGAACTCTACGGACACACAAAAAAGGAGGATATAAATCTTATTATGGGTGACTTTAACGCAAAAGTCGGGCATGGTGAATCCCACGAGTAGTAGGAAAGTACGGCTTAGGGTCGCGTAACGAGCGAGGTGATTTATTAGTACAATTTTGTCAAGAAAAAAGTCTAGTGATTACAAATACTTTGTATCAATTACCGCCAAGAAGGCTTTATACGTAGACCTCACCATCTCATACTCCGGCAAATATTGTTCGAAATCAAATAGACTATATTATTGATTAAAACTACTTTTACGGATTTTATCGCGTTTCATTTATTTTTAATACCAGACGTTTCGGGTGACCTTCAGCTTTTTAATTATTGTCTTTGGTCCGATCTACGCAGCACTGCGTAAATAAATAAAACGTGATAAAATCCGTAAAAGTAGTTTTAATCAATGTATAGTGTTCGCGTAAATATAAGAAATCATTAGAGTATATTATTATCAATCACAGGTTTCGTAATAGCGTTACTAGTGCCAAAACGTATCCTGGTGCAGATATCGGTTCGGACCACAATCCCGTCATTGTTAATTTGACTTGCCGCTTAAAATGCAGGAGCAAAAATGGAGTTAACAACAAATATGTTGACATCAGTAAGTTAAAAGATCTAAAATTGAAAGGGAAAGTGCAAACAACAATTAATGAATGGACACTGAAAGAAAAGAAGAAACGAAATACTGACGTGGAAATTCTGTGGGAAAGTCTGAAGTCGAAGATATGAGACATCAATGATAGGTTAATTAAGCCATCGCCTGTTTCAAAGAAAAATCCTTGGATTACCGACTCAATCATCCAACTTATTGAAGAAAGACGCATATATAAATCTTCTGATCATCAGAAATATAAAACCCTTCACAAACGTATCAGACGCGAAGTTAGAGCAACCTATATCACATGGCATATAGAAAAATGTGAATTTATGGAATCTCCGATGGCTAAATTTTGATGCGTTTAGTCTTCATAAAGAAATTAAGACAATGGCGAACATTCAAAAGAAGCATAGACAAGGTTTTCTGGTTGACAATATGGGAGAATCATCACAGACCCAACTACAGTTAAAAAGACCTGGGAAAATTATATATCTGATATGTTTCAGGACAATAATCTTAGTTGTCCGCAGAGTTTTGAAACCGTAACTGGACCGGAAATCATAAGATCTGAGGTTGATTTTGGCTCTTAATAAAGCAAAGTCTGGAAAAGCCACCGGACCAGATAAGGTCAACGTTGAGCTTTTCAAACTTTTAGAACATGAACAAGTTGATGTACTTATAAATTTATTTAACTCTATCTATAATTCTGGTAACATTCCTCAAGACTGGGTCAAATCTACTTTCATAACTCTTCCGAAAAAACGAAACGCCAATACGTGCTCAGACTACTGCACTATCAGCTTGATGAGCTATATTCTAAAACTCTTCCTAGCCATAATTCACCATCGCATAAGATATAAGTGTGAGGAACAACTAGGAGACACTCAATTTGGATTCCGAGCTGGAACGGTTACTGGAATGGCCCAGTTTGCGTTAAATGTTCTTGTGATTTATGAAACATATGTTTCATAAATTATGAGAAGACTTTTGACCGTGTTAAGCACGACGTTCTTATACACATTTTGATGACCATCGGCCTTGACACGAAAGACATACGCATAATCCAAAATCTGTATTGGCATACAGGACGCAAACGTAAGGGTGAAGGAAGGTTTTACCGACTCAATCGCTGTCCAAAGAGGAGTACGTCAGGAATGCATTTTGTCGCCTCTGCTATTTAATCTGTACTCGGAGAATTATAAACGAAGCGCTAGAAGATGTTGAAGAAGGAGTCCTTGTCAATGGCCAACTGATTAACAACTTGAGATACGCTGACGACACTGTTCTTATTGCATCTTCAGAACAAGGTCTTCAAAAAATACTAGACCGCATATTTGAGTGCAGCACAAGATCGGAACTTAATATAAACTTTTCTAAGACCAAAATCATGGTAGTTTCGAGATCGCCAAAGCAGTTCAGTGTATGTATAGGACAAGATAGTATCGAACAAGTACAGTAAGTATCAGTATCTTGGATCTTGGGTAACTGATTCTTGGGAGAGTGACACGGAAATACGAGTTCGAATTGAAACTGCAAGAGCCTCTTTCATGATGATGAGCAAAGTCCTTACTACAAGGAGACTATCAATCGAACTACGTACAAGACTCATGCAATGCTATATTTGACCTGTCATACTATACGGATGCGAATCTTGGACTATGAAAGAAGATCTCCGTAAGAAACTAGAAGCATTTGAAATGTGAATGTATTGCCGTATGCTCTGAATAAGCTGGACAGACAAAGTTAACAACATTGAGGTCCTCAAACAGATGAAAAGGAATAAACCCCTACTTTTCAAAACCATCAAACAGAGAAAAGTTGCGTACCTAGGACACGTGCTAAGGTATGAACGTTGCCAACTGCTGCAGACTATTGTGATGGGCAAAGTAGCGGGTAAAAGAGGTGTTGGTAGAAGGAACATATCGTGGCTATGTAACATCCGGAAATGGACTGGGATAAAGAAAGTTGAAGATCTGTTCAGGCTAGCCCTGAACAAAGAAGAATTTAGAAGGATGACTGCCGACCTTCAGTAATGGAGAGGCACTTAAAGAAGAAGATCGCAAATTCAATACTCACTCGGTCGCGGTTTTTACAGGTCTTATATTATAGGCATTCTGCGACTGAAACATCTAGAATGTTCGTTTATATACCGGTCCCAACCGACTAGGTGTAGAAAGTTCTAGTGTAGAATTTTCTAGAAAGCTTAGTACTGCTACTCGATACTGGAAGGCGCAAGTGGCATTAATTATGGCGCGCAACACTGTCCCCTCCTAAAACTTGCCCGGTATGAGCGTTATCGGACCCATAATAATGCGCCAGTCAATCCATATGAAGGATCTTACAAGTACCTCGTGCACCTTTCTGTATCCGGTAGGTTGCGTCATTGATTCTTGTCACAATCCGGTACGGTCCATCCCATTTAGCTTGAAGCTTAGGAGATTTTCCTTTGCTGCAGACTGGATTGTGCAACCTCACTAGTGTACCTTCGTCGAACCCTTTGCTATTCATTTTGCGGTCATACCGGGTTTTCACCTTTTCAGATATTTGCTAGTCCGATTGTCTGACAAGCTCTTAAATGTCATTCATTTCGTTCCGCAAGTCATTTGCATAATCGGTTATACTGCGAGGAGTATCAGGTGGTATTCCGGTGATCAGGTCAGCAGGCAGTCGTAATTTTCTTCCAAAGTTTGCGAAAGCTGATGCCACTGATGTACTTTCATGAACAGCGCTTCGATATAACAAAAAACGGTTGTATGTGCTTATCCCAATCTCGTTGCCGATTTTCCACAACTTTTTCTAGGTACATCTTCAATGTCTGATTTAATCGTTCTGCCATTACATCAGATTGTGGGTGGTAAGAAGTAGTTCTTGTTTTATGAGTACACATAATTTGGCAAGTTTCCTGGAATACTTGAGATACAAAATTCATTCTGTATGAGGTCCCTTTACAGCCACACAACTTGTACATTTACGATACCAGTCCTCGACATCGTCTCGACATTGGACCCAGTAAAACCGTTCTCGGATCTTCAGTAGAGTTCGTTTAACTCCCAGATGGCCTCCTGAACAACCATTATGGTACAGCTGTATAACATCCGGTACTTTAGACAGCTGTCTCTTCGACCAATTTCCCATTTACGGCACAGAACTCCATCCTGAATCAGCAAACTGTCCCATTGGGCCCAATAGCTTTTCGTGTCTCATCGAAACTCATCGCTGAGTCGTCGCTCCACTTGGGCTTGGGAGCATTGGCCTTCATCTATTCCAGAATCGGCTTGATGTCCGAATCTTCCTTGCAGTGCAATTTGTAGTCTGTCCTTGAACTCATTGCTGAGGTAGTTTATTCTGAGCATTCCCACAGATACCGCTTCTTTGTCCTCTTGCAAAATGCTTGCAATCTTCATGACAAGGTCTCCTTGACAATGCATCTGATTTGCCAGGTGAGTTCCCGCTGCGATGTTCGATCACAAAGTTGTAGATCCTGCTGCTGCTGGGCGGTGTTGTTAGCCGCACTACCTTCTCGAGATAGATCACCTTCCCTTTTTGCAATTCGCTTAGGACAGCTGGATCAAAGATGGCACCCTTCCCCACAACCGTAGCACCTAGAGCTGTACCCTTTATTGCGGTCGCGAAAGGTAGCTGCTGCAACCTACCTGACGCGATGGAACCGATGTTCCTGCCGCATAGCTTCTACTCCAGTTCATGGGCCAAGACGTCCTTAAACGCCTCATGGTGTCAAAGCCTCACAGCAGCTCTGACTTCAAAGTCGCGGATGCCGCCGATGAATGTCAGCAACACGATTCCTTCTATGAGCGCAGGTACAGACTGATATGCTTTTCAAACTAGCTTCTCCACCTCAAGCGCCCACAACTGCAAATTTTCGTTGATGCGTTGCACGCGATATTTAAGCTGCACACGAAAGACGTGTTCCAGGTGAGTGTCTCGCCTCCAATGCCACAAGGAGCTGCTCGTAAGTCACCTCCTTACCGAGAGTTTCCAGAACACTTAAGGCCTGGTCGCACAGGCCTAGTGTGAGAGCAGTCATGGTCTGAATTTTATTCCAGCCGTTCGCCTTCATGACAGCTTAGAACTGGATTTCGTAGGCTAACCAGGAAGTAGTCCCGTCGAATGGCACCACTTTGAATCCACGTAGTGAAGGTGTTGTAGCTACCACGGGAGCTGTAATTCCATCCCCAAGTTTGAGATCGTCCAGTGTTTTCTTCATATCAACCATCACGCTGTCAAACCGAATGTTCACTTGGTCGATTCGGGTTTTACTTCCGACAAGCAGATAAAATATAATATTGAGCAACTCTACCCTTCACCTCCCTAATCTCTTTCCGAAGGTAGCGTGAAGGTCCTTCATGAGGAGCATCTGCTCTTCCTTACCGTGTTTGAGCTGCTCTTCCAAACAACGGGTCTGTTCCTCCTGTTGGCGGGCCTGTTTCTCCAGCTGCTCTTCCAACTGACGGGCCTGTTCCTCCTGCTGCTCTTCCAACCGAAGGGCCTGTTCCTCCTGTACGCGCTGCAGATGTTGTTCTAACCAAGAGGCCTGTTCCTCCTACCGGCGAGCCTGCTCCTGCAGCATCATCATCAGAGCGCCTAAGTCAGGTGCTGCAGATGTAAAAGCTGCTGACAGGCCAACGTCCGCGACCAACAGCTGGCCTTCCGACGTCCTCTGCGTTGCACCACCAAATCGTCTCGGGTCCGTCTCCTGCTGGCGTTGATTTCGAGTACACACTCTCCGTGTCGTCCTTAAGTCAAATAGGCACGTTTTAATCCCACTTCTGACACTAATTGTTACGAACTTGGGGTACGTAACAATTAAAAACTGCCAAAAGAATTACTAAAATAACACTTTAATTATCGAACACCAATTAGAACTTAAAACTCACATATAATAAAACAAAATTCGCAGTTAACTCGCTTCAAATTATTCGCTTGCATTGCCAATTCAAGAATCACTCGGTCGCCGTCTTTGCTTATCTTATATAAGACTCTTCTACTGAAACATCTAGAATGTTCGAGGACATACCGGTCCCGACGGACTAGGTGGAGAAAGTTCTAGAGTGGAATTTTTTAGAAAGCTTAGTAATGCTACTCGATACGAGAAGGCGCTACTGGCATTAAT